TAATTTGTAAAATTTCTCTCCAATAAATATAAACTACATGAATTATGTAAAATGAATGGATGTTTTATTACTAATAAATGGACTTTAAATATTATTTATGGAGTTTTTATTATAAATATCATCTACATAACTTGTAAATTTTCTCCCTCTCAACAGTTATAAATCACATGAATTTTGACATAAACGGATGTTTTGTTGCGTATTTCACATGCCAACAATTCCTTCTTTCGAAAAAAAAAAATTAATTGTCAGAGAGGTCTGTAGAGTGCAAAATTATTTCAGATTCTATTAAAACTTTAATGCAAATATATTGATTTTGAGATCCAGCAACGCAATTCTCCCAAATTCGCAAAAGACGTGGCATGTGAACCAGATTTTTTTTATAACGTAATAAAGGAAAAACAGCTCAGTTAAATTGATAAAAAAGTTGCATCAACTTAGCCAGATATTTTATGGAGTTTGAATTATAAAAACATAGTGATACTTGGTGCTAGTACTACTGTCCAAAGGAATTCTAACCTAGCAGAGATGAATCAAGGAACGTCAATGAATAGGGACCAAAGTAAAAACAAACAAACATGAAGTGGGAGTTAAAATCTATTTTAATATATATTTTTTTCAAATAATAGCTCTAATTTTCCCCAAGGGATCAATGAAGTGCCCGCTTGATCGAGATTGATTGAAGTCTTGGTTTCAGACATCACATAATTTATTAAACAAATAATATACTATCATATTCATAACACGATTTTCCCAATTAATAAGTTGATGAAATTTCGCAAAACATTCTGTTGCAGTGTACTATTCACTAATTTTTAAAACAATCATCACACTTACGTGAAATTTTACAAATATTGGAATTGTTGCCGACGTGGAATATGTCTCTTGGAAAATAAGGATAATTAGAGAAAAATAATCCCTCTCAAAGGAAAAGGAGTGAAAATGAACAGAGGTGACATTATTATAAAAAGAAAGAGTGACGTTAATAAGCTGTGGCCAACAAGTCTGAATTTTGTTCCCTTCTCATTCTTCCTACTTTCCTACTCATCGTGTCAATGAAAATGAATTCTCTGCTGTGCCTAAGGTTATGCAATTCGTAGTTTCAAACTATTAACATAAAAGAAAACATAATAATCGCATTTTATGGGTTGAGAGATTATTCAGGAATTCACAAATTTGGACGCACGCTAGCTTTGATAAAATTGATTATATTTTAAGATTTTATTTTATGAGGTTCAACACTAGTCCTTAAATTGAAAAGCCGGCCCTACATGTCTAGACCCTATTTTTTTAATTTAAAAACATAAAAAATATTTATAATCCTAAAAATATTATTACATACAAGATTAATTTTGGACAAATAAATTTAAGGTAATCTACACCACAATAAATATGTAACATGTAGAGGTTGCTAACATCATCAGCTAAATTATTATGAATGAATGATAAAAGGAGAAATAGGTATAATGTTTTCATTTCTTTTAGTTGAACACTTATTCTTCAATAGGTTGAAATTAAAAAAATAATAAAAAAACTTAAAAGAGGTGCTCCATTCTTTTAAGCTTGAATTATCATTTTTTATTTTAAAACATCAGTCGGGTCTTGACTACTTTTAGGCTAAATGAGTAAATGGCTTGGGCTAGACAGCCCTAAAAACACTATTTTAAGATTTGAATCGGTCAAACCGTCACCCGAAAAAGAAAACAGTCTGATTCAACTATTTGGCCCATTCTAGCAGTTAATCCAAATTGGCCCGTTTTGACTCGAGTAGTTCTTGAAGACCCAGAACAAAAATCTGAAATCTGAAATAGTTGAACCATTTTTTAATATATATGTATATACATATTATTCTTTATTTAATTATTATATCACCTATTCAACCATCAATCTAATTAATTGAACCATAAGACCCGTGATTCACTTATCTTTTTAGTTCGTTGTCCGGTCTGATTTTTAAAATATTGCCAAGAAATCACTACATTTAAAAAATAAAAAAAGTGCATATAATTAAAAAAAGAAAAAACTCATTCTTGACTTACTGTTTTCCGGGAATATATATATATATATATATATATATATATATATATATAGATGGTGCGTAGAAGATAGAAACAGATCGTGGAAACTGGAATCACACGTAATGCAAGGCTGTCAGTGAAGTAAAAGGACCAAGTTGGGCAACTTGATATCTGATATCATGTTGTCCCTCGACAAGTGGTTCAACTTTCAACTTCCAATTCAACATATTCATGTCTTTTTAAGATAAATAATGATGATGACTTGCAAAGAATTAGGATCATATTTTAGATTAGATTCGGATTAACCAATCTTTACCTTCTGAAGATCAAATTACGGTTTAAGCCGTAAGCTGCATACACTTCTATTTTAACTTGAGATTGAGACGTCGGACTATCAAGTTGTTCCACCTCACATGTTTTAGTAATTGTATTCCCTGTAAAAATATGCCTCTAAATAAATTTCATCTAATCTAATAAGATATAAAACTGTATTCAAATTTTCAAGTGCTCTCTTTTACCCTGTATTTGAGATTGATTTTACAAATAAAAGTCTAACATGTAAGAAATTCTCCTAACGTGTTTCAAATAAAATTACATTTAACCTCAATTTATTATATATAATAATTTTTTTAAATTTTTTAACAACATAATAAATATATCCGTTGTGATTGAAAAATTATTAACTCATTCGTAAAAAATATATGATTGTCAATTCATTGACGAAAGGTCATATAACAATAAGATCCTAATTTATTTTATACAAAGTAAAATATTTTTTCTGTTAACTAGGGAACAACTTTTTACGGTTTTTATTAATATTAATTATTATTATGCCTCAACACCACAATATAAAGTATTGTTAATTAATTTATATTTTTTAAAAAAAGCTGATTAAAATCTTGATTTTCTAGAAATTTTTACATATTTCTAATTGTATCATTGAGTAAAATAAATTTAATATTTGATTTGTTCAAAAAATATTCATTAATTATTTGAGTTGAATATAATAAAGTAATAGTATAATTAAAAATACACATATATACAAAAATACAAATATATAAAATCTACCACTGCATTTTGAATTAAATAAGACTTTTAAAAAATGTCATATGCTGTGACTAGAGGGAGTAACATGTTAACCATGAAATAAATACATGGATTAAGGTGCAATTTGACTTTTAAATTTTTTCTTAAAGAGTAATTTTATTTTTGTACTGATGAGTGAGGTAATTTTACTCATAAATTATTTTTTTAAGGAGCAAAAAAATCCCTTCTATTAGGTGCCTAGCGTTTCTTGTAAGAATAGTTCAGTTCACTTGTTAATAATACATGGGTAAAATTACTCTTTAAGAAAAAACTTAGAAATAAAAATTTACCTTAATCTTAAATATATATTTGCATAGTTGGCTCTTTTAAAATATTGTTCCTTAATTGCATGAAGTAAATGATATATAAGTTACCTTATTTAATTTTTAACACAATTTTTTTTATTTTATCCTCTATTGAACGTGAAGAGAGAAAATATATTATTAAATAATATATATATATATATATATATAATTAGGGTAAAGTTGATAACTTTTTAAATTTTAAGAAAAAATTAATAAATTTTAAAATTTTTTTAATTTTGGTAAAATATATGAACAATAATTTATAAATAGGGTTAAAGAAGTATTGGACTGGTTGGTCAGCATTAGGTTGATATTTGGCTTGTAATGGACAAATTTTTGAGTATAAATGCTACTCTTTTCGTTTAAAAATATAAAATATTTTTAACCGAATCTCACCTTTCAATAAATAGTTACCTACTTCTAACCAATTCTTTTTTTTATATTTACTCCTATTAAATACCCTATAATAAATATAAAGTTATTATTAATAGGGACACTTAAAAAAAAGATAATGATTATATCTCGAAAGACTAAAAATATCTTACATTTTTTAACATACAATTTCTCAAAAATACTTTACATTTTTAAACGGAGGGAGCAATTGTTAATATGAGGATCTTATTTTATTTTTTTATCAATAAAAATTTAGGTGAGTTAAGTTCAAAGTTCACTAAGGTCAAAGCATTCTTTTAAGTTGAAATTGTATTTACAAAGATATATTTATAAATTATTCACTAACAAGTTTTTCACATCAATAGTATGATTTAAACCAATAATTTTATAAGTTATGGATTAAATTCTTATTAATTAAATTAATTTTTATTGATTGAGAATCTAATTTATAAGTGATTTATCAATACATTTTGAGTTTGAAAGCACGCCTTTGCCATGACGGGCGCCCAAAATTCAACTTATCCAAATTTTTTGTAATGAGAAAAAGTTAAAAAATATATATATATATAATAAAAAATATAGCGCAGTTGCCCCTTTTATTAGCCAACCAGAGATTTTAGAAATTGCTTTGCATCGCATTGTGAACCTTATTTAGATAGATGTGGTGTTTTCCAAACTTTTAATCAATCATCACTTTTTTTTATTTTATAAGAAACCAGTGAATAATGAGAAGATGCCAAGATAGTTTCAGCTTCGCTGGTAATTTCTATTTGAGATGTTTGATATTTTTCATTTGAAAAAAGAGGAGTGGGGATATGGATATTTAATATTTAATAATAACATTGAAAAAGATGGAAACAGTAAGACCCTGGGCTCGGAGTAGGAATGATGTGTTGTTGCAAACGTTTCGTGTGGTAACTCACCCACGTGGCGATTGAGTCAGTTAGCATAATCCTCTTTCGACAAGTGGACTTAGGAACCTCATCCCAACAAAACTACCCCTCCCCTAAAGCACAAACACATACAGACGACTCGTTGGCGTTACCTCAGGATCTGGCCTTCTCGCCACGTCAGCCCCTCCCCGCTCTTTTTCGTCCCCACGTGTCCCATTCTCCGGCCTCCTCACGTCACCAGGGGCAATTTCGTCATTTTAACCACCGATTTTTGGGTTTTATTATCTTTACGGCTTTTCAACCGCCTTCTTTTCCCCTGCCCCGATTCTTCCTACTTGATACCTTGGCGATCTCGTGTTATCAAACCCGTCCGTCTCGTCAGGGAGTAAGGATTTCACCGGGAAGCCGCAAGAAACTGTAGAATCTTTGTTCTCAGCTCGAATCAAAACAACGTTTGAATTGTAATTTATTTTTTCTCTTTCCTCTCAAAAGCATCCATCCCTCAACTTGCAAGCTCTTTTTCTTCTGGAGGGTCATAATGGGCTGCAGTTATTTGTACCGCTTACGCCAAAATCCCGCTGTAATTTGACCTTTCCATGATGTTCAGCTATCTGGGTTTGTTTTAATTGACTGAGCTTGTTGCGTCAATGGCGGACGTCGGGGATGGAGGAAAGAGGCACATTCCAACCCCAATGAGCAGTAATTTCCGGCGAGATCTGTTGCAGCTACATAGATTCATGTCTGTGAATCACTTGCCGGTGAAGGTGAAGCTGGAGGAGACAAGCGAAGAGGATGAGGGGGAGCTGGAGCTGACCCTTGGTCTCTCGATGAACGGTCGTTTTGGGGTGGACCCAAGAGCCAAGAAGATAAAACGCACTTCGTCGATACCGGAATTCATGAATCACAATCCAATTCTGAAAGACGAAGAGACAGCGATCGGGATGCCAATGGGATGCGGTGCTAGTTCGCTGGTGAGGACGTGCTCGCTGCCGACGGCGACGGAGGAAGAGTGGAGGAGGAGGAAGGAGCTGCAGACACTCAGGAGACTGGAGGCAAGGAGGAAACGGTCGGAGAAGCAGAGGAATTTGAGGGTCGTTCGGGAGCGAAATCGAGAAGACGACGTCGTCGTTGAGCGGGATGCTACTCAGACGTTGACTGATTTCGCCGGCTCGAGAGCGCCGCTGTTGGGCGGTGGTTTACCACCACCTGGTCCTCCATCGTTCTCCAAGGCCTCCAATGGCTCAGATGGGATCTCAGAGTCGGAGAGTCACCCGGCTTCAGGTAATTGCGATTCAATCGGCAATTTAGTTACGATTTTTTTTAATCCCTTTTTGGTGATTGAAGTCATCTGCATTTGCTTGCTTGATTCATCGTCCTTTGTTTCCTCTCTTGTGTATCTATTTTTTTTTAGCATCTTACACAATTTCAGTCCCAAAAGTCGCTAGTTTTCTTACTTCGTTTCTTCTCTGTTCTGACCTTAAGCAACTCTGGAACTGCCCTGCTTTTGTTGTTGTTTTTCCTTTTTTTAGTTCCATGAGTGTGTCAGATTGCTTCTCTAATCGATGTTTTCAATTTGGAGCTGATTGTTTGAGATTACTGTTTATAGCCTTATCTGAATGTCTGTTTCCCATGTCTCGTCCTTTGATTTGGAATTTTTTTAATTCTATAATTTGGAAAGAGGGTGAGGGATAAGACAAGTTTGGGCTACATTTTGGTGAATGTACTAGCCACCTGATCACTGATCAGAACAACAATGTGCACTAAATTAATGCAAGCTTTTTAACGTTCTTTTTTAAATGTTATTCTCAATGTGAAATTAATCCTTATTTAAAGGAAGGTGTCCAAAAGGCTGGATTATTATATGAATTATGAATCTGAAATAATTTGGCAGGAAGATTATGGAAAATGTTTATTCAAGGATCATGAAGGGTACTTCAAATCTTTTGAAACTTTCTTCTGGGCATAAAAACAATTGAAGAAAGAAAGTAATTCACTTGAAATAACCAAAAGGGTGTTTAATCAAAACTAACAAGTTTTGGAAAATGAGTTGATTCCTCAATGGTATGTGGCTTTAATTAAAGGAAGGTTAAAGGTACCCGCAAAAAAAAAAAATATATATATATATAGCATGTGAGTAATGTGCTTGTTTGTAAACCTCTGCCTTTGCTTAGCATCAATATCAATATCATACACGTATTTATTGAAAGTTGTAGCCTATGATTCGGGCATGGAGCATCTTGATTCTTGAGATAACAAAGATGATCATGAGGCATAGCTCTTCACATAGAAAGTTTTGCGTGGTTTGTTTATGGGTTTGATTGTTTCTTAAGAAGGAAATCAATATCGTTATAGAAGTTTATAGGAAGCTGCATTATTTTTTAGCCATGAACAAAAATCAACTATAAGAAGGAAAACACTTGCGATTCTCATGAAAAAAATCTGGCTTAGTTAACATGCAAAGGAGCTTCATGTGTTGTTTTGAATTTTCAGTTCGAGAAATGGGTCTTGATTTTCGCATGCAAAAAATCTAGTTAAAAATTATCCTAGCCCCTTTTCGACTTCATCCCTAAATTGGGAATAAATAGGCAGCAAAAGGTCGTTTGAAATATATCTTTACGTACAAACATCACAATCTGGGCATGTTATTACTGAAGCTGTCTTTGCCAAATCTGTTTCTCTTGTCTTCCTCCCAGTTGGTGACTGTTTTTACTATCTGAAATCTCTTGCCTTCAGAAGCTACCTCGTCTCCAATCATTACTATAAATTAAACCTCATGTTTATTGTCCTAACTATTTCGATAATGGATTTAGTAGGCATGTTCATTGAACAGTTACATAATTGTTGTGAATCTGGTTTGCTTGGATCAAACAACTAGTACAAGGGCATCCTGAGAACACATGTATTGACATTCGTATGCATTGACATTTGTAGCTATTTTGATGCATCATTTAGTTCTACTAGTCTAAAGCCTTGACGGTTGGGATTATTGTTCAACTATATTTCTGTCTCGTCTCTTTTCAATTCTGTCCTGCTGTTATCATAACATAAAGGAGTTCAAATTGTCATCACTCGGCTTCATGCCTTATCAGTCCATAGTTTGATCGATCTATGTTCTGATGCATGTTCTTCCTGAGATTGTCCCAAACTTATTTGTTTGTTTGTTTATCTATTTGATTCAAGCAAGGAGATAAATAAAATACAAGTTCAAACTAGCATGTAACTACACTTTCATCCTAGCCCTTTTTTCCCTGCTTCCAGGAACAAAATCCCCTGATGCTAGAATCTCTAACTGTACTAACTACTCTGTAGATGGAGAACAGAAATCAACAATCGCCTCAGGAACACTGATTGCCGGAAAATCAGGCAAGACTGGTGCTGTTGCAACTAGGATTGAGGATAACAAAATTGTATCACCGAAAAGCAGGACCAAAGATATGATGAAGAATATGTTGGAAGAAATGCCTTGTGTGTCTACCAAAGGTAAGGGTCCCAATGGAAAGAGAGTTCAAGGTTTTCTTTACCGGTACCGGAAAGGAGAGGAAGTGAGGATACTCTGTGTTTGTCATGGCAGTTTCCTCACCCCGGCTGAGTTCGTCAAGCACGCAGGCGGCGGTGATGTGGATCACCCATTAAAGCATATCGTTGTAAGTCCAAGCTTTTTATAACTCCTTAAAATGAGACAAGGGACAAAGGAACCAATGATGAGTAGTCAATAGTGACACAATACTCTCTTTGGTTTCTCTTTAAAATTTGGCTCTTGATTTGGTCATGGAAGTCCCGTGCGAGCATTAATATTCTAAGTCTAAGATATTATGGAGGATCTGATCTCTTTCTTGATGTTCTCTGTTATTGTTGCAAAAGCTAACTTTTAGTATGAGGGAACAATGTCAATGTTATCATTTCCTAAGTGGCATTCCATTCCTTCACTTTGCTTGTCTCTTTCATGTTAGTTTCGTTGTTCGAGAGCTTCTACATTTGATATGTAACTGCAAATTTGGCACACTTAAATCTACTGTGAAGGGTAAGATCAATAATGTCGCATTCTGCAATATGGTTTCAATCTGAAAACATAGCAGGATTTGAATGTTTGATTATTTAGTTAACTTGATGAACAAAATTGTTCACGGATGCATTGTGATGCCCTTCCATGAGTAGGGAAAATCATTTTGTACCAAGAAATATCTTTTTATTTTAAAACTACTAAAAATTTAAGCCTGTTAATTTAATTTTTGAATTTTTGAGCAAGAATAAACTTAAAACTCACTCAAGCCTGAATGCATAAGTTAGTTGACTGTGGGAGGGGGGATGGAATATTGTCTTGGTGAAAAATAGTCAATGATTTTTTGACTGTCATAGGACGGAGAATGTCCTTTGAGGAGTAAAAAATGGATATGGATTTTTTTTAAAAAAAAGATACCGACACTTAACAAAATCACCAAATTAGTGCTAAAGAAAATCATAAATTGTACTACAAAATAACCACAAAATCCTTGCTAGTTAACCAAAAAAACACACACACACACACACAATTCATGGATTGTTCATTGTTGTAAAACTAAAAAAAAAAAAAAAAAGTCACGCATTTAAAGCGCTCAGGATCTGCATGTGAAATTTCTCATTGTATCTCACGGAAACTTTGTCGAGATGAGGCCACGAGGGGTCATGATTTACTCTAATTTTTTAGAAAGGAGAAAGAAAAAGATTAAAAAAGGACTTTGATTGGAGAATTAAGTAGAAAGAATTGATTTCTTATCAAGGAAAAAAGACAGATTTGATTTTTAAAACAAAAAATTAAGATGAAAGTGATTCAGTCAGAGATGATGGGTTCATTGTAACATTAAATGCGTCAAAAAAACCATCCGAGGGTAATGGCAATGATGGGGATGAACATAATTAAGCGTTTCTATTCTGGTTCTCGTACGGCCATGGGTAAGTCTTTGAATAGTTTGGTTACTTCTAATCATATTCTTCCAACGTGATTTAGTCGGAAATAAAATATATGGAGAGACTGATTCTATTCTATGATCTTATTAAATAAATGAAACAGGAATACACGTGTATGGCGTGGAAATCACATATCTGCATTCTTCTGCAGATTCATCTCCGAAGGCCAAAAGCCCCCTACTCTAGAAACAAGCATCGAAAACTGAGGGCATCGCTATATTACAATTAAGTGAATTTACAGATTGCAACTCAACCTAGGAAGAAATAGCCCACAAAAAAGGACCCAAGCCTAAAATCACAAATCATATTACAAGTGGGAATACCTCTAAGAATCACTGTCAAACTCGCTAGCATGATGGCGGTTGAAGTTGCTTTAGCCTACGCACAACCTGTTTCATGGACGGTCTCGTCGAGAGGGAATCAACGGTACACATGATGGCCAAATGCAGCACCTCTATCAAATCATCTGAGGGTCCTACATCCCATAACCCAGCAGTGAAGAACTCCTTGGCACTCCCTTGCCGAAGTAGCAGGCACGCCCATGCCACTATGTTAAAGCCATTCCCATAGGATGAAAATGAAGGATCTAATGCCTTCTTGTCCGAGAGCAACTCCAGAAGTACAACACCATAACTATACACGTCAGCCTTATCAGAAACCCGACAAGTCATGGCATACTCCGGTGCAACATAACCAAACGTTCCTGCCACCCCCGTGGTAGCATGGGTCTCAGAAGTTCCCAGAAGTCTCGCCAATCCAAAGTCAGACAAATATGCATTGAAATCCTCATCCAACAATATGTTGCTGGGCTTCACGTCACGATGGAGAACACGGGGCACACACTGATCATGGAGGTAGGCTAGCGCTCGGGCAATGTCCAATGCAATCTTGTGAAGAATTCTCCAGTCCACAGCCCTTGTCGACCTCTCCTGAATAAATTTTTCCAGGTTCCCACCCGGCAAATAATTGTATATTAGAAACATCTCAGTCTCACTGGCATGGTACCCAAACAAAGTGACAAGATTTGGATGGCGAAGTCTTCCAAGGGTCTTAATCTCTGCATCAAATTGTTGCACACCTTGGAATCGTCCTACTGACAGACGTTTTATTGCCACTAGATTTCCTGGTGCTATCTCTGCCTTATAGGTTGCTCCAAATCCTCCATTTCCAATACAATTGCTTGCATTGAAGTTACCAGTGGCACGAACGACAGTTTCAAAAGTCAATGGAACCCCAATATCAATAAAAACGATAACTTCTTTTCTTGTGGAACCAACAACCCTGGACCTGGAGTTCCACTTGCGGGTATAAAAGAAAAGAATAATCAAGGCTATAAGAACAGAAACGATGGCTGATGCAGATGTTATAGATGCTATTTCAATAGAATTGAATCCAGACCCACTACCTTTGCTGGTAGTTTCTGGTGGTGCAGCAGTATAAGAACTAGAATCAGCTACCTGTCCTTGTTGATCTGTTGATGGCGCAGTCAGAGAAAGCATGTAGCAAGGACGTAAATATGGATTCCCAACGGCACTGCTGCATTTCAGAGAGTTATTATTTGATGGCAATGATCCAGAGAAGTTATTGAAGGACACATTAAATGTTGAGAGAGTAGTGACATTTGCCAGACCAGTAGGAATATGCCCAGAGAGTTTGTTGTTGTTGAGAAGAAGACTAGTCAGATTTCTCAAGTTCTCAAAACACTTTGGAATCTCACCCGTGAAAGAATTAGATGACAGATCCAAGACTTCTAAAGAGTACAACTGCCCCAGGTTGGTAGGAATGGAGCCAGTTAAGTTATTAGAGGCCAAGGAAAGAAACACCAGATTTTTCAATTGGCCAACGCTGACAGGAATCAAACCTTGTAACTGATTCCAACTAAGGTTCAGAGAAACAAGAGATACCAATTCTCCTAAACCAACAGGAATTGGTCCAGTTATCCGATTTCCGGATGCATCCAAAAATTTTAATGACCTGCACATCCCGCCAAAGTTTGCAGGAATCTGGCCAGACAGCCTATTATAGCTGACATTTAATAGCAATGCATCTAATCCATCACATTTATCAAATATGTTGGTAGGAACTGGCCCTGCAAGCTTGTTTTCTCCAACAAGAAACGCATAAACCATTTTCTTCCCCAATCTGTCACGTGCTAGGGGCAATGACTGCATGCCAGAAAAGTTGTTGTTCCCAAAGTTATGCAAAACGGAAAGACCAACATCTCCCACTGAACTCAAAACGGATCCATCATGAACCTTTGACGAAAAAAAGGACATATATGGAATTGAGACATTGTCAAGTTCAAACAGATTGCCATTCCAGGAAGGAACTGAAGGACAAGTACCATTAAAAAATTCAGGAATTGAACCAGACAAGATATTCCCACTGACATCAAACACAGCCATACAAGGAACATGAAGCTCTTCAGCAAGCTCTCCAGTAAGGTTGTTTGAGCTTAAATCAAGAAAATGCAGCTTCTTGCAGCCACTAAGCTGATTAGGAAACTCCCCAGTGAAGTAATTCTGAGCCAAATTGACCATCTCTAAGTTATCACAAGCACCCCAACTGCTTGGGAAACTGCCTTCCAGAGTTGCCCTCGGTGCCCACAATATTCTAAGCTTTGGGAGGGATGTAATTTCCACAGGCATGGCACCTTCAAAATAATTCAATTCATCATTTATAGAGACCAATTGCGAAGATTGCCGCACAGTATTGTTAACCTCAGGAAGTGGATTGAAAAGATTTGATAGCACGAGGACAGACAGCTCCGAACAATTCCCAATTTCTGGAGGTACAGGACCACTGAGAGCATTTCTTGAAACATCCAACACTTCAAGCAGCTTAAGTTTACCAAGTTTGGAAGGAATTACTTCTTCCAATAAATTCGAATACAACAACAGTGTCCGTAATTGACTACAATTTCCCAAACTGCTTGGAATTCGCTGAACTAAGAAGTTACCTGACAAATCCAGATGTTCAAGCTTCCCACAGTTATCCCCGATCTCAAGCGGTATAGGCCCACTAAGCAGATTAGACAGTAGATAAACCCCCTTAAGCTTACCGATGAACCCAGGAACAGATCCATTCAAGCCATTCGCAGCTAAATTCAGGATTTCCAAACTTTCAAGACGTGCAAGTGAGTTCGGTATCTCCCCGACAATTTTATTAAACCCGAGGTTAAGAACTCGCAAGCTCCTCAAGCCACCAAAATGAGACGGAAGTGACCCAGTTATGGAGTTGCCCTCTAGGTCGAGAACTTCCAACTTGCTCATACCCCAAATTTCAGAAGGAATTTCACCCTCAAAACCGTTAAACGGGAGTGATAGAATCCTGAGCTCAGTAAGCTTACTAATCAGAGGCGAAATCTTCCCAGACAATGCTCCTCCACTGCCGTCACAGCTCCTCCTAATTCCAAATCCATAAAGTGGAAATTCAGCAGAATCAGTACATGGAGAAGAGCTTCGATTACTTCGACCACCATTTCCAGTAATGTTGAGGGCGACAACCCGCGAATTCGAGTCGCAGAGGACACCGAACCAAGAACAGTGATTGGAATCTCCGGCCGAATTCCAGTTCGAAAGCAACCCCGATGGATCAGAGACCAAATTCTTGAAATGAAGAAGCACTGATTTGTCCGAATCGGCCGGAAAGGCGTCGCTCCAAGAGGCGAGGAGGACCCATGAGAGAAAGTAGAATTCCAGAAGAAGCAAAGGGGACATGGGCTTGTGAAAGAAACGCCATTTGATCAGTGAATTACGTGAATAAGGAAACATCTCACGAACCCTCGAAGGGACTTCCAGACCCAGATAATTCAAACCCTAAACCCTTCCCTTTGAGTTGCAGACAAAGAAAAGGGGATTTTTTTCCCCCCTGAAAACCCTAACCCTAATTTTGCTAGCTAGGAAGACAGAAAAAGATATAGAGCCAAGGGGCGAAGGAATAGTGCAGCAATCAAGTGTGTGAATATTTCAACTGTGTTCTTTTCAGAAAACGCGTTTTTCTTTCCTTCTCTGTCTAGTTTTGCTTTTGCATTTGTTTTGTTTTTTTTTTTTCCCCAATCTTCTTCCTTCGTTTTTCCGTTATAAAAAAACAATTAATTTCTTATAAAGTAAATTAAAAAAAAAATGAAAAAGGGGTTTCGTGGCCATTGGGAATGGCGGGGGATAATGGGGTCCACTCTACATTTAGCGAGTAGGAGAGTGGGAACCACAGCCGGTCAATAAATGATGAAGCCACGTCAAATTAAGGGGTCCTTGGTAGTTAGGCTTAAAGGTGTCAAAAGATTCCTTAAAGTTAAACACGTGTCATCATGGATAGAAACCCACGTGGGATAATGTTCCAGGATGTGAGAGGGTCCCACCTTCTTTTTAGTGTCGTCGGCCCTTTGCTTCATGAGGTCCAGATAAGCAAGGCCCTACTCCTTGTCAATTTTGTACAGTTTTTTCCCCCCTCTCAAATTTCTATTCAAAGAACAAACATTAATTGAAAGCATTTCCCATATATGGGCAACTGACTCCTTTCACCACACTCAACTACTTTTATCTTCCTTTTCCTTTTTCTAATTTGTAACAGTGAGATGTTTTTATCTCATCCTGACTTAACCTTTTGTTAAAAAATATATTTATCTTTTTACTATTTAAAATCTACTGAATACATAAAAATATTGAATATAAACAGTGAGATATTATTGAGCTTAATGAAATTGTAAAATTGCACCCATAAACATGACAAGTATAATGACAATTGACAACCACTTTGTGTTGATTTGAACCAAAATAAACAATAACTCTCCGCTAATAAAGATCGTTGATGAAGGGATGACTCTCATTAACATCCCTTGTGGTTCTGAATAGAAAACAATAATTGTTATAAATTATAATTGTTCAACTAATTTAAATAATTTAGATTGGTTTTTTTTACCAGTTAAATAATTTAGATTTGTTAAGAGAAGTAAGAAAGGCATGTTTAATATTTTAAATACATCATTTATTATATTATCGGTATTCAATAGTACTTTTTTTTTAAAATAAAAATAATAATATAAGAATCATTTAAATTAAACTTATTTTTGGGTTTTTTTAATCAAATAACTCATACTTCGGTTCCATGGTCCCGGGCAAGTCTTCTTCTTCGTCTTTTTTTCCCCACCATTTGTTATCGGAAAGGTAAGTCATTATCTTAAGTCCACAATTTCATTTGACCACTGAATTTCCACCATGACTGACACTCACTGGTCTTATTTTACCTTCTGGATGCCTTCTCTTTTGACTTGGAACTCCAAAGCTGAAGTCCTTCTTATACCTTACAGGCTAATAAAAGCCACGGAAAACAGATTTGAAGGTCATGTAATTATTTATTGGGAGAATTTTCAAACCTCTTAACAATTAAAACCTAATATATTTTAACAACCATACTTCTTATCATAATATTTAAAAAGTTTAAAAATAAAATTTATTATACAAATCATTTTACTAAAACCTAATATAGCTTATTATTTCTTTAATTTTAATTATTAATATTATAGTTGCTTTTTAGGGTACTGCTCTCTCTCTCTCTCTATATATATATATGCTTATATAATTGAGTATCTAATTTCATGAATGCTGATAAGGAAAACCCGACTATCATCACTTTCTTTATCCCACAAATTCAATTTTTTATGTAAAGTTTATATTAATTTAACAAGTGACAATAGATAATTAACAAATATTATTGAGAAATTAACAAGTAAAATTATGCAATTAATAAGTAAGTTGGTTGCTTTTTTGAAATAATAGTTAAATAAATCTTGTTATGATATTAACAAGTCAAATTATGCATTTAACAAGTATTATTACATAATTAACAAGTAAAGTTGCATGAGTAACAAGTAATGTAATTTAGTTGAAGGAGTCATGGATTTGATAAGTAAATTCAAGTAATTAACAAGTCCTATTGAGGTATTAACAATGATAGTTATGCGATTAACAAGTAATTTAACTTTGTTGTGAAAGTCACGGACTTAACAAGGATTAAGTAATTGACAAGTTCTGTTAAAATATTAACAAGTACAATTATGTAATTAACAAGTAATTTATTTATGTTGCAAGAGTCGTGGGGTTAATAAGTAAGTGATTAACAAGTCTTGTTAAGGTATTAACAAGTAAAGTTATGTGATTACAAGCAATATAATAATCAAGTGATTTGAAAATAAGGTTTATTATATATGTATATATAATTTTATATATTATATAATTGAATAGGTTGAGTAGCTTGGTGGCTTACAATTTTTTAGTGAACCAAGGGGTCTTAAGTTCTACTCTCACCTTGACCACCTTTAAAAAAATTAATTTTCCAGCCACTGCCAACGGTAGTCTAGCCAACAGCTAAATCTCTGACGACGGAGGTCCAGTGGCTGCCGTTGCCGGCGAAGCTCAGGTCACCAGTGATGATGCTCTGGCAACGGTGGCTAATGGTTTTTTTTTTTTAATATTAGAACTAAAGGTATTTTTATCTTTTCTACTTTCAACTTATTTTTAATTTAATTTTTTAAGACTAAACTGATATTTTAAAATTTTTTGAAACCCAACTGAAAATATGTTGCTACTAAATTGTTTAAATGAAATTCTTCCTTATTTATGCTAGTTTCCTTGATTAATTAGCATCAACGTTTATTTATATTCTTACCCAAAGAATATTCCTGGATGAAAAAAAAAAAGATAGAATATAATCAGATTTAAACAAAATTACGAGTAATTTACATAAGATGATTAATATTTGAGCGAGAGAAAGAAGGAATTGTGAAAAGTGAAGCATGACATTGAATCAGAGCCCTGCGGCTGATTCGGGGCAATTTGGTGGAAAGTTTGTATGCAGGTGACGTAACAAAACCGAGACGTCTTTTTTAAGCTCTCCTTGTCAATTTTTTTAGCAAAGATATTAATAAATAAATATTTTTTAAAATGCGATTTCATATATTAGTAATACACTAAAATGTTCTCGACAAATTATGTTTTGTATTATTACAAAAAATAATATGGAATGAACAACGAAGAATTACAGATATGATGAATCGGACAAGATACACTAAACTTTATGCCGAATTTATAATTTAAGTGTAAGAATTACTCATGTATGAAGACTTTCACGAATAATTTTAAGGATCCAGATTCGGGTATTTGTATTGAATTCGTTAATACTTTTAAAGATCCAAATCTTCGTAGCTATGCCTGCGCATGTTAGATATGCATCAGGAATATATGATAGAGAGAGAGACGACGACAAAATGATTATAAACATATTTGATAAAGATAGTGTTCCAAAGCAAGGCCTGATCGGCTGATTGATTATTATTCAGTGATTGCTTTCTCAACGACTTGAACAACAAGAGGGGAGATACCAGCGATTTCTTGGTCGAGGATTTGGTGTTTTTTCAGCTTCAGGACTAGGCGGCTCTAACGCCTTTTCTGAATTTATTCTTATTTTACTCTTCCTTCCACCCTCAATTGCCAATCTGAAACAAATCACAAATAAACTTACTGTCAACGCTCAGCAATCACACCCTCTTCCCAAATTCACATCATTAAAATCAAATTATTACCAATGAAAACCACGAATTCTAAAACCATTACTCAAGGAGCTTCACGACGAGCCTTGAATTTTCGTTTCACAGACACACTACAAATTTTTCATACAAAGTGCAGACCTTCAGCACAATCATGCATGGCTCGTCGTATAATTCATCACATTCTTCAAAGCAGGTCCCACATGTAATTTGTTTAAGTTCTAAACCATCTAAATCTATCATAGTGAATTACTGCACCAATATTTATACAAGTTATGAGCGTAGCAGAGTAACTGTTGTTACCGAACGGGTGTGTGAGAATAAATTCTTTTTTTTTTCTTTTTCTTTTTGGTTGCGTGTGTGAACAGAGTAGGTGTTTTTACTTATAAACTCACACCATCAACCACAAGATGAAATGAAATGCCATTGGATATGCAGTTGCTGTCTGTGAGTAATTCATGAGGAATATGCAAATGCTTACTCTTGGAGGTTAGCATTTTAATAAATGAAGTTCCAAGTGGCATGCATATTTCTGCAGAAAAGCAAAAGAATGGTGAAACTTACACAGGAAATTGAAAAGATCGATTGCTCATACGGCTATCTTCAGAGCGGTAAGACACACTGGTGATATTCTTAGCCTCCTCCGTGGGGACCATTATTGCTTCCTTCCTATTATCCTCTGTAGTTTCAGCCAATGTTTCTACTGATTCACAGTGCATCACCATGAGCGAATCTTTGACTTCCTCCCATGTAACTCTTGTTGATACTGAATCTGAGTGCCCTTCTATGTCAGCACAATTGCTTGGGACTGCCTCTTCAACAGGATACAGTGCCGTGGACTTGCTGATTGAGTCATCAACCCTTGCGAAACTATTGTTTCCCGCCTGTATACTGAAAAGAGATTCATTTGATGTATGACTCCATCCCAAAGGATTTGTCGCTCTGCTGGAAAATACAGACAATGGGATCCTGTTTGGATCATAGCCAGGTCTAGCCATCATTTGACTGGGAGGATACTGTGTAACTGACGTACTTTGGAAGCTCCACACGGGGGATGGGTAACCAAAGTCGCTTGAATATGACATCGTTGGAAGATCATCATTAACAGCATGCTTTGGTTCCAAAGTATGAAGACCATTTTCATCGTTTTCTAACACTACTGATTCGTCTAGTGAAGAGTCTGATAATGAAGAAGAACAAACTGACTGCTTTTGGCGAGAAATGGCATGATCATCATCGTCCTCGGGAACTTGAGAATGCACTTCCAGATTATGGCTGATTCCTCCATCTTCATGATCCAAAGAAGCCATTATTTTCGGTGCTTAAAATTTCTCTAGACTGCAATTGCTGCGAAAAGAGAATCAACAAATCATTGTGCATCTACTTGACCCAAAAAAAAAAAACGAAGGGTAAATTATTCTCCTCTTTTATAATAAATTCTTCAATCATTAAACCTATCTAGTATGAAAATATGCACAAATCTTTTAGAATTAAAATAACAACAAAGTATGGCACGGGTTGAATCACCTATCAAGACCAAGCCCATTTGCTCTCACAGCCCAAGTCCATCCACTAGTAAAGAAATAAAAACAAAACGTCATGTAAATAGTTGATTCTAGAGTTTTTTTTTCCTAGTTCATTGATCTTTTTGTTCTTTTATTCATTGCTTAATATGGTATGAGAGCCCGCGACCGCGCGGCATTCGTTGGCCACGCCCAAAAAGCGACTCAACAGTCAACATTGATATGTGTCGTGTGCGTGTGTGCGTCTCTCTGTTTTTTTTTTTGGAAAAAATGCTGGATTAGGGGTGAATTTCTTTTTTTTTTTTCAAAAAAAAAAAATTAACAAAGGCCACGCTCAAGAGACACGAGCACAGAAGGTTTGAGAACGTGAAGGGTCAGCGAGTACCATCAACTGATCTCATCGACACCCGGCATTGTGTAATTACGTCTTCAATCTTCACATTGAATGTGTTGATAATACAAGTTATGTAAAAAGCTAACATATGAAATACAGATCTACAGCGTGCAAAGGGAGAAGAAAAAAGTTGCAAGAATCGTCTATCAATGTAAAATCAAAACTTACCCAGAGAGCTGTCGCAGAAATCCAATGGCCTTCTCAAATTGTTATAGATCCACTGCAAGCACAGAAGTGGCGATCGACGGAGTTCAATGGAAAGAAACCTAGAAGCAAAAATTGACACGTATTCCAAAGGGAATGACACTGCAATGCCAAGAAAGGAAGAGAAAATCGGGGAATGAAACGGAGATCCAAACAAGGTTCGCAGGGGGAGATACAGATGAAGATAAAAGGGGGAATCACAGAGATTATATCGCGAAGTTATCTGTTCCTTAACGAAGAGATGAACAAACTTACCCAAGAAACGAATCAAACGAAACGACGTTAACGAATTCGCGCCACTGCCAGCAACCACCTAATATCACTCAAAACGGCGATCCCATTGCCAGCTCACATGTTTTCACAATTCATTTTCTTATTGACCTTTGACTGCAAAAACGGTGATCGTTTTTCTAATAAATAGTTCTTGATTGTCCAGAGAAAATAATCCAGTAATTTTAGAAATTATTTTATTTATCCCAAGAAAAGGTCATTGTCGTTTTAGTTTGATAGAAAATATAAAGTGAATTAAATGGAAATATACAACAGAAATTTCTGAGTTGCTCCATAAAATCCAACTTTAATTTACTTACAATTTTAAATTTAAATTAGTCGAGGGTGAAGGTTTGAGCAGGCAAGGGCAGGATTGAAAATACAATGAACTGTGAGGGTGATTATAAAACCCAGGGATGCATGTTTTATCTTTTTTTTTTTTTTTTTTGGTAAAAGTGGTCATCTAATTATCTTCAATCCCAGCATGTACCTACGTTCGCGTTCACTCAACACCTCCGACGCTATCGTCTTCACATTCTCGCGTTCCCGTTTGAAGATTCCACTCTCAGTCTCAGACTCGCCTCAGCCTCCCTGCAATTATATTTCGTCCTTTGGCTCCTCCTTTGGTAAGATTCCGTTATTGTTCCCAAGATTTAAGCCTATATCTTCATTCTATTGATGTCTTCTTAATTGACCTTAGCCTTTTCTCTGGATTCTTTTAATTGAGAAATAATTATAAGAATAAAAGGATGACACCAAGGTGCTTGCTTTATAGTATTCCGCAAACTGCGAATCGAATAGAAAATAAAAATGTACCACCGCTGTTTTCTTGGCCTATTGAGAAAAAGTCTTCCTTTAGGCATATTTAGTCATCAAACTAAGTTATTAGTATGTACGTGTAAGAAGGAATAATCAGATTTCATGTCATTTGAACGGGAAAAAAAGGAATTAGACAGCATTGGAGATTGAATAAGTGGCATTAGTTAATAATTAAGGTAATGTAGACATATATATTATTGTTGCCGTTGTAATTCCCTTGAGTTTGTGATGTTTATTGATACAGAGAGGAGTGGAAAAGGCATGGCGAATGACGATTCGTGTGACTCTATTGCAGAGATATGAATTAAGTTTAGGCAAAAGAATAACAATGGATGGGATTTTGAATTTGAATATTCAGCTCTTCAATTCTGGAGTTCACTACTGTAAGCTCTGAACTCATCTTTCTTTCGTATTCAAGGCATTGCCTTCTTTGAACTCTTTCTTTTCTGCTCTGGTTCCTATCCCACGACTAGTCCTATTTTCTCTTCCTTCTGAAATAGCCTAGTGATCCGCTTGTTGTGCAAGTGACATTGATGGGAGTGAAATAAACCTGTGCTTGGTCGCATATTCTCTGTAACCAGTAACTACTGATACATATTCTCCGTCCATATTTAAGAAGAATCTTGGCATTATGTTAAACGATTGTTTGCAGCTAAAGAAACAGCGAATTACCCTATTGGTAGTCCAACACTTCAAGCATCATCTCCAAGCCAATTTCAATGTCATGGCTCTTCAATCCATCAGAGATTGCCTCTAGTGGCAAGGGGCTGCAGAAGCACATTGAAGGTAAAAATCTGGGTGAAAATTGTGTCCCCTTTTTGTACTTGAGATGACTTAATTCTCAAAACCTATCTGATCTCTCTGGAACTTTCAGTCTGGCTGCTATACAAGCTAATCGTAATATTTGATTTTTGACGTCAGGTTTGTGCAATGAGGAGAAGGAGAAGGGCAAATGAGAGGACTGGAACTTATGTACTGCTAGAACCAGGCGAGGAAGAGAGGTTCGTGAGTGAGGAAGAGTTGAAGAGTGCGTTAAAAAATTGGCTTGAGAAGTGGCCAAGCAAGACCCTTCCTCCTGATCTTGCAAGATTTGATACCATTGAGGAAGCTGTTTCCTTCCTTGTAAGATCTGTTTGTGAACTGCAAATTGATGGAGATGTTGGTTCAGTCCAGTGGTACGAAGTCCGCTTAGAGTAAAGGACACAGGTACACAGCATTGGCTATGTTTTTTTGTTTTTTTGTTTTGGAAACATCACATAACTGCACTTTTATGGTTCAGTTGGGAAAACATTAGTGGCAATCTCCATCGTGTTCAGTGTATTGTATCCGAATACATGCATTCTGAGGCTGCGGAACAGTTTCTTATCAATCACTTTAAGCTAAGCACATGTTAAAGGTCCTCAATCCCTAGTCATGTACAAGTTGTCTAGTTCAAATAAATGATTAATCTATTCATGTTATATCAACAACAAATATTGTTTTACAAAATTAGTTTCATGGATTACACTAGACTATTATGTATTCCTATTGCTGCTATTTTTATATATAAAGTGTTTTAAACTAAATTTTACATACTAATAAAAGTTTTTTATCTAATTGACATCATATAAAATCACAGTAATTTTTCAATTTTATACTAATAATGTCACAATTAGTATTATGATGGTAGTGGGTACAATACACAATTCTTTCATTTTTCAAAACAAAGCAAAATTATATAATTATTCAAAAATATCATATCAACACTTATACTTAAGGACAAAATAAATCTTTAAAAAATACCTTTTTCTCTCTGGTCTTATTTATAGAGCAAAGAGAGAAAAATTTTTTTGTTCTTATTTATCAATCACATCACCAATGTTTCATTACAAATTTTTTTTTATCCTCCATTGAATTTTGAAGAGAAAAAATGTTATTAAAGTATGTATATTTAATAGGAGTAAAGTTGAGAATTTATCAAATTTTAAGACAAAATTAATAAATTTTAAAGTTTTCCTTAATATTGAGAAAACATATTAAAAGTAACTTATAAATAAAATCAAAAAAATATATAATAATATTTTTGCATAAACATACTTACAACTAGTTTGCTAGTGCACTTAAGATCGACAATAAACAAGCTGCCCCCCCCCCCCCTCTCTCTCTCACACACACAAATTTTAGATGCGCGCATCGTTGTGCCTATTTATTAATGCTTCAATTTCATAATTTCAGTAACTTAGTTGAAGCGCAAAATTTGTCTCATAGACAGATAAATGAGAAGAACATAATTTTGTCTACATAAACTAATCTAATGTTTTGTAAGTAATGTTATTAGGCTTGCATTAGGCTGTGCCTATTTCACAAAAACCCAATAATTTACCAGATTTTAAGAAACAAGTAAATTTAGGGGACAGCAACCTGCAAATAAAAAACTAGCAAGTCTTGAGCCAAATTGGCTAACAGAATTGATCCTTTGGTTACAATAGAATAATATTTCATTCCATTATAAACTTGCATGTGTCAATATTTTGTCCCCAAAAAAAAAAAAATTCCTCCGCAAGGTTGTCTCGCTGTGCCATTCACTTTCAGAAAACTCAGCCTTGGCTTTGCAAGTCACTCCCTGTAGAAGAGATCAAATATAAGACGGCAAATCACAATACCTGGAAGCAGAGGTGGAAGTAGGTAACAAACTTAAATGAGTTGATTTTCTCCAATCCTGAGTTCAATCTTCAAGCCATGAAAATGGAAAGCTATACCACGATACACATAAAATTAGGAAATTATGCTCAAAATCAATGAAGCAGCGTATACTTGTTTTGACGACAGACGACCTGGCAATGACCAATTAACAATAAACTAAACTGAAAATCAAACGCTCTGGTCTCTTGAGTAGGGCAAAATCAAAACCATAATCCAGACAGGCATCAGTTTAATTGATCACCCATACAAGAAGAGCTTGACTCTCAGCTGAAACTAAGGTCCCACAACATATTACATTAGACCTCGAGAAGTAAATTATTTGGGCTGAAGTTGACTGAACTGAACATCTATAACCCCAATCAAATGGTAAAGAATTATGCCAGTGATGAACGAGAGAATCCGAAATACTTCACATCATTAATCCCTAGAAAACTTGGTTTACCGCTACTGACAATGGAATGATTTTTTCTATCTGAAGCAGCAGCTAAAATTGATAGAGCAAACAACTTCTGGTGACAGCTTCCATATATAACAACTAAACAGTCAAATAACTAATTCTCTGTACACAACTCTTCTTTCAAACAGCTTTCTATGATTACTTCCTCGATAAAGGAAGAATTGATTAAACCCAAATATACAAAAAGCTTACGACAGAAAGGCAACAAGAGTAAAATGGTAAGATACATACCACTGAAATTTCCCTGACTACCAGAACTCCTCAGGTGACATTCGAACCAACTCACCATCAATCAAAATATCAAAAGGTTCTGGTTTATAATCAGGATTACCTAACCACAATTGGCAACTAAATTACAAGGTCACCGAGAAAAACCAAAGGGGTGGAGAGGGATAAAGCATTAAACATGCATCAAAATGAAGCAATCTGAAAAGTAACTAAATCTTCTTCATGACAAACAACAAATTTCAATTCAGAAAACAAAATTGTCACCATGGTCAAAACATGAAGTGCGCTTAAAGTTTAAGCATCCATAGATATTTGAATTTGTAAGGAATCCACATAATAAGGCACCATGGCTTCAAGAAGACGATTGATCAAAGATGAGAGGCCAAATCTGGTGAGGTTTGCACGGATGGAATTATGGAAATCATAGTAGTCGGAACTTTCAGTGGTGGCTTTAACTTGGTAAATAACTGCACTTGGATCTTCCTCATTGTTCCTTCAGCTTCTTCACTCATGTCACTGTTTGCCTGTTACCCTTGGTAAGAGTCGGTGAGAAAGACACATACACGAAGAGAGGCAGAATCTAGGGTTTAACCATTAACCAGATTTTTTGCACTGCTGGATGAACAGAAGAGGCAGCAGAGAGAGAGGCATGCGGGACGATCCTAACTCTGAATTGTCTTTGTAGTTAGAATCCCAACGCTGAAATGCTTTTTTTTTTTTTTTTTTAACTGAAAGATGCATTAACTAATCACCGTGAAATGATTTTAAAGTCCCATCCCGCAAATATGCACAAGTGCATCCCATCCACAGATGATAGAACGTACCGTCTTAGTCTCTCAGTAATAAACATTCAGTCCAATTATTTTGCAAAACAAGAATTCAGCATAAAAACTTGTTTAATTCAAGAGTTTAGCACAAAATTATCACTAGTTAACTACAGGAAAATGTTAGAATATTCATAAATATTATGGATTTGCATTAGTTAATTAAGCTCAAACAGAATAATTTTTATGATCTTGGATGGACCGTGATAGATGAATCATACAAGTGAATTCAATAGACAAAGGCCCGACCTATAATCCTGCAGCCGTTAGTTATTTTCTATCTCTTAACTGGATGGGTTAAAGATAATGTAAGATAATTAATTAATTAATTAATTTATGTAAGCGATTACTAAACTGATCCATATGAGTTAATCAATTGAAAGCCAAAACACGATATATAAAGTTTTAGTTTTCTCTTATCTCCATTATCTCCGCACTCATCGAAAAGCTACAGTAGTCTAATCGGTTGTGTATTTATCTATGCTCAAGATAATTAAGGTGTCACGTTCAAGTGATTATGGATTCATTAGGTACAAACATCACTTTACTCAATCTTATTTAACTTATAAGACTTGAGATATTAATATAGTACGTGACATCAGAGCAGGTTACGAATATTAATTTGTAAATCTCAATTTATTACCTTATGCGTACGTTTACGGATTAATAGAAATTGCTTTCAGAGCATGTTAACGTGCCCAATGATTCTCTTTCTAACCTTTGTCATTCAGTAAATATGAGATTTTGTTTAAAATTGACGTTTACGACATGGGTGAGATAACAGCGCCTTAGCATCAGGCCTTTGTCTAGCATCCTGACATGAACCATAAACATGGATTCAAGATTTAGTTACCGACTAGATTAGGCACCAATTCGAAATTCTTCCCTTTTATTCTTGCCATCATTGACGCCGGAGGTGAGTTACTGTGCGCCGTTGGTGCTGTGTGGTCGCTGGAAGCAGTTCTGTTTAGTTCTGCAAAAGTTGCTGTTGCGCCGTCGCTAGACGCAGTTTGCTCGACAGAACTCCTTCCTGTGATCTGCTGTAAACGCACCTTCGGTGGAGATTGCGGCTCCGTAGTTGCAGGCGTCGTTCTCACCTGGTCTAGCTCCTGTCATCGGAAGGTGCTCCAGGACAATTGGAGATGGCTGAGCAGGCTGCTGCGTCATCCAACGCCCTGGACCTTCTTTGCCCTGCGTTCTCCTACGCGGCAGTGGCAAATCCAACAACAGAGTCAGAAACTATGGGTGCTGGGCCCAAAATTCATCTGGGGGCCAAATGTTTGGGCCCAGTTCTATTATTTTTTTAAAAAATATGTTATTTTTGTTAATTGCGTTTTGGCCCCAATTTAAAATTACCATCTTGGCTCATGATTTTTGAAATTTCTGATATGGCCCCAAGAAATTTTTGAAATTATCTGTAAATCCCTTAACTTTCATAATTACATTTTTAGACCCAAATCTATTCTATAATTACCTATTACCCTCAAATAACTTTTAAAATCTCACTTAAATCCTGAATTAGTTCTTTAGTTGCCAAAAGACCTGAAGGACTTTTAAAATTATTGTTTTGTCCTAAAGTCATAAAATTTATGGCTTTATAAATTATTAGTGATGCTTAAGATCTTATAACATTGATCATGGACATACCACATACGTGTGACATTATTAATATGATTTTGATGGTTGGTTTTGAGGATAGAAAAATAGCACTATTTTAATGTGTTAAATATTTATTATACCCTATAGGTATGAAAATGTTTAATGCATTATTTTGTGTGGACTTTTATATGAGCTAAATTTTAATGGTATTCAAGCCTTCTTAATGTATGATTATATTTTCATAATTGATAATTGCTTGTTGGGAAATTCTGTTTTATAATTATGTTGTGCACACATAATTAATATTTTCTATTTTCTATTTCACGATTTTAATTTTTGCTTTTGTGCAACTATTCTTTATGAAGGCTCTCAATAGGACTAACTATGATGGCTGAAAAGAGTCCCTGAATATGTATCTTACCATTTTTTTAGAAAGATTTGGCTCTAAGAGAATCTAAGCTTGCTAATCTCTTTTCTGAATCCAGTGCTTCTGTAAAGGCCTTCCATAAACAATGGAGTGAGTTCAACTGGATCTGTCTAGTGATCAAGTACACAATTGAAAAATGAATTAGGGACAGTATTTCTGAAAATGATATTATAGTAAAATACTTAAAAATTATTAGTAACAAATACAAGAGGCTTGACAATACTCAAAAGAACTATTATTTGTTATTACTTAACAATACTCGATATGACGGAGTATTTAGTATTAGGGAGCATATTTTAAAGCTTGTTCATTGCAACAACAAGCTTAAATCATATGGGATTGACTTGAGAGAAAGTACCTCAGTTTATTGTGTCCTTCAATTATTGCCACTAGAGTATGCATTCTTGAGGACTTCATACAATTCATAAGAAGCTGAATAGTCTGTTAACCAAATAATATCAATAGTCACTCAAGAAGAAAAAGTTATAAAAAAAAAAGAATTCTTCTCACTTAGTAAACTATGTTTCTCATGGCTTTGGTAGCAAAACTGAAAGGTCATATAAGAAAAAAAGGAAGAAGCTTGAGGCCCCAAAGCCCAATAATCTAACTTTTAATAAAGATGGTGATAAGAGTGAGAAGTTGAGAAAGAAACTTTTAAGGGATTATGCAATTATTACAGGAAACTTAGCCACATTAAAACTAATTGCTTCCAACTAAAGAACAAACAAGAAAGTGAAAGTACAATTTTTCAAACTGCTCCTCTAACTCTAGTTGTTTTGAGTCTAATATCATTGAAACTTCTTTTGACTTATGATGGCTGAATTCTGATGCCATTGTGTATGTTGTGAATTCTTTACAGAGAGGTTCCAAGTAAGGCACAAAGGTCTATCTTTGACATAGCAAGGAGCAAGGCGTTAGTTGAATGCATTGAAACTATTTCTTTATATTTAAATTCTAGACATATTTTAAATTTGAACAATGTTATTTATGTACCTTCTACAAAGAGAAATTTAATTTCAACTTTTGCATAAGATATTTATGATTATTCATTCTTCCAAGAAAATGAAAAAATTGACATTCTTTTTTATTTCATTAATGTTGGTTGTGTTTCCTTGATATATAGTTTATATTAATTGAATGATTGATCACTTGAACTTCATAATCTCCAAATTAATGCTACAATTGGGCATAAACGTCAAAGGCCAAATGATAATTCTTCTATGTTATGGCATCATCATTTAGGTCATATCTCTAGAGAGAGATTGGAATATATGCCCAAGCAAGATGTCTTTCAAGACCTTAATTTCTCAGATTTTAATACTTGTGTTGATTGCATAAAGAGAAAATTCCTTATTAGAGCTAGAATTAAAGGGGCAAAGAGGTTTGAAAATATTTTAGACCTAATCAATTCAAATATCTGTGGACCTATTACACCTGCGGCTATAAGCAGTTTCAAATATTTCATCACCTTCACAAATGATTACACCCGTCATGGATGGATTGAACTCCTGTGTAAAAAGGGTGAGTCTCTTAACGCATTTAAGAACTTTAAGGCAGCAGTCGAATTGAAATCTAGAGCTATCACTTAGGGCCGAGCCCGTCAGGCCAGCCCTTTTAAGCTTGAAAATAACTAGAGCCAAGCCACTATTTTGAAAGGAAAAATGATAATTCAGGCTTAAAAGGATCAGCCCTTTTAAGCCCTTTTATTATTTTTTTAAAAAATTATAATATAAAAAATAAAAGATTAAATATATAACTCAAAGAAATAAACATATTAATGCATTCATCTATTTAAGATTTAGTTGATAATATTAGCCAAGTCTAATTTTTATTGGTATTAATTCTGATACTGTTATTTGATATTAGACCTAAATGTTTAAGTTTTCTTTATTATTGTGGTGTAAATTGATTTAAATTTATTTTCTTTAATTTAATTTTATGTATAATAACTTTTTTATGATTATAAATATATTTTTTATAATTTTAAATTGAAAAAAATATAACTTTTACAAAGGGAACCCTTACATATAATAGGGCTTATTAGGGCTAGTCCATTTAGGCCCTAGCCCTTTAAGGGCTGACACTTTAGGGCTATCCTGGCCCTAATTGACAACTCTATTGAAATCTAGTAAGTTGATCAAATGTGTCAAATCTGACAGAGGAGAAGAATTTTATGGGAGATATACTGAGACAAGTAAGAACCATAGACCATTTGCTTTGTACCTTCAGGAGCATGGCATTGAAACTTAGTATACTGTACTTGGCGCCCTGCAATAGAAAGGGTTATAGAAAGGCAAAATCATACTCTTATAGATATAGTTGGAAGCATGACCAATCACTTCTCATTGTCGGAATTCTTGTAGGGTGATGCTCTTAAAACTACTGTTTATATTTTGAATCAAGTTTCAAACAAGTTAGTTCCAAAGACTCCATACAAATTGTATTTTGGAAGGACTCCCGCACTAAAGCATATCCGAATTTAGGATTGTAAAGCACAAGTAAAACCCTACAATCCTAAGCTTGATGCTAAAACTATTGACGATTTCTTTATTGGATATTGCATTCAAATCTCATGGGTATAGATTCTACTATCGAAATCACACTATTAAGGTTATTAAATCTAACCGAGCTGAAGATGCCTTAAACAGTAGGAGTTAAGTGCCTAAGTATATCACTTTACGTGATGAAAGCAATATATTGCTCATGCTTACCATGACAAACCCTTATGTTGAAAGAAATACTACAGTGGATTAGCATAAAGCTGAAGATAAACCACCTTTAGAGGTTGATGAGAATTTGGTTGTTGAACCAAGACGATCTCAAAAGGTTCATAGGTCTGCTATTCCCAATAATTACATGGTGTATTTGCAAGAATTTGATTTATATGCTATTGATAGTTTAAATGTAATATCTTACCAAGAGGCTATTTCTGCACGTATTCTTCTGAATGGTTGGAGGCTATGAGTGAAAAAATCGCCTCTATGTACCACACGTATAGGAGCTTATAGAGCTACTAAAGGATTTTAAACCAGCAGGTTGCAAGTGGGTCTTTAAAATAAAATTAGAAGCTACATGTGAAATTAATAGATATAAAGCCAGACTTATAGTTAAAGGCTACAACCAGAAAGAAGGTATCGTTTACACAGAGACCTTATCTTTGATATCCACTAAAGATGCATTTAGAGTAGTAATAGCTTTAGTTTCATAGTTTGATCTTGATCTTCACTA